CCGAGAATTGTCTGTTTCTTGTTCTTTAAGCGTCGTGAAGCGTGAAGCTTGTATCATTGAAGCGCTTCAATTCGGATTTATTGACGACACGAACTTCTTTGTGCCGCGACCTCATAATTCGCATGTAAATATAAATACGTTATAAAATGTACTTTTCCAATTTCAACGTAACGTTTTAATATCACTTTTACATATCTTATGTTGGTTACATAGACTTTAGCAAGTCTTATGATTAAATACATCAATTTCATGTAGATAATTCTACTATGGATCACTATGTACTCTGATCCTGCAATCACTTTCGAAAACCAATTACAAAATATAAAGCGATTTTTATGGCCAAAATAAAAATGCCGAAGCTTGGGCATGTTCATCGGTGGTTAATTCAATTGTTCCTCACTGTCTTTTGGTCCTAATCTTTAAATTGATAAACGCTTGTAACGTCCTTTAAAAAAACACAAAGAACAAGTCCTTCCCACGGTTCATGTAACGCCAAATAAATTCAGCAAGATATGAAGAGTAATGTTCCTTTTTTTTTTTTTTCCATGTGTTGGTAGACTGACCTTCATTTGCCTCCAATGTCCTTCAATTTTGTTCGTGTCGTAACCTTCCGAGTTCACAAATTCTACAGAATGGTTCACTTTTTTATGTTCGTATCCATATTTCTCTAAGTTTACGTAATCCTTCCAGCAATCATGGACAATTGTCGTTCCTGGCTCCACCCACTCATGAATATGGCTTACGAGTGTTGCCTCGGTTCTGTCCTCAACTGTCACAATTAAGCATTTCTGGGAATATTGCTCTATTCCTCCGAAAACATACTGGCCTTCAACAACGTGTCCACGATGATATTTTCTTTTCCCTGTTTTCGACCCATCGATCTGCACAACCTTCCTGGTCGTCCAAGTCTTTCTCTTATTTCGAACAGTGTAACCTCGCATATTTCTCGGTAAAACATGTCCTAGTCCACAGCTGTATGTGATACCAGTCCCAGTTGCTGTTTAATTTGCCACTGCTCAAGTCCCTGGTACCACCAGTATGTAAACTTCATAGTTTCCTCTGTTGACAAACTGGATTTTTCTAACCAGCTGCCTTCCCTTATGCTCTTCTCAACTCGACGTCACTTTCCGATCTGTTTGCGGCATTGCCAAACAAAAACCATCCGACCAGTCATCGTATCAAGAAATGGTCCATTGTTCCGGCTCAACTTTTTCAGTAAGCATCAAACAATAGTCCTTCTGTTATTGGGGGACTTTGGCCGAAGGAAGGTGGAGAAACTCGTCACTGATCAAGAAAAAAGTCGGAGTGACAATTTTTCTGCATTGGAGGAGTGGGTAGTGTAAATATGTACTAGTAAGATCAATCTCCATCGGCGCACCCAAGGGTAGACTTGACCCTCGATGAGCTAGAGTTATCCGTATTTCGGTGACTCATTTCAACCACTACTCTCTATATGCAAGTCAAGTCGCCTGGTAAATAGTCAACGCACAGAATTATTTCTTGATCTTACTACTGGTGTTAAATGCAATCGAAACTGACGGTTTTCTGTAGAGAGCCACGAGGCGATAAAAGACCTTGTTCCTGACGCACAGCTATTTTTTAAACGAGGCGCTCATTTTTTAGAACCAACATGTTTACCTAACACGAGGATCCCTCTTTACAAAAGCGCCGAATTCGTGCAACTATGTCGATGATACAAGATAAACTGATCAAAGCAATGATTTCTAGTTTTTGCGAGAGCATGTATTCGTGTTATTTTCGTTTTCAATCAAACGCGTTGCAAGATGAGGGTGTGAGATTTTTACTCACAAGTAATTTTTTTTCAACCCAGTTTAAGCTCGATTGACAGATATCACAAACATGTCTCGATGCAATGAGCCCTTCGTCCTTTAACAAATTAACTCGGAAGGTTACGACACGAACAAAATTGAAGGACAATGGAGGCAAGCGAGGGTCAGTCTACCAACACATGGAAGAATAAAAGGAACATTACTCTTCATATCTTGCCGAATTTATTTCGTTTCAGAGCCAGCCCTTTTCGTTAACGGGCTCGATCTGGCGTGGCATTTTGCAGTTACTCTGAAATTGTAGAGGTCACTTTCAAAACACTGCTTTACTGAATTCAATAGCTCCACTTATATAGAGGTGAGTGACACTCTAAAAAACATCTCATGCATAAATCAGCAAGCTTAGCCTGCAGGCATGCCCTAATCGTGAACGCTTCAGCTTGTGTGTTTCTTTGCCCGCGGGAAAGAAGGACATCTTTAGCAACGCGAGCCGGCGAGAGGTCTATGGTGATAATGTTTGACAAAGCGAGCCACTCAAGCATAACAAAGTAAACAACAAAACATTCTGGAATGTACTAGAACATTTTAATGTCATTCTGTGATTTACAGTCGAAGCTGTTATTAAGCGGCCAGTTGTCCCGAATTTGTTTTCCCATAATTACTGTAAGCGGTCACCGATAAAGGTCACTGTAAGCATTTTTCTTATTTTCAGTCTAACCTTTATTAAGCGGCGCAATATTAAGCGGTCACCCTGTATTAAGGGGTCAGGTATTAAGTCCCAACGGCCTGTTTATATTGTCCTCTACCTGGATTGATTGATAACTGATCACGAAAGCGGGACCTGACTCAAATATTACGAATAATCTTTCAAGTAACTTTTATCCCAAAATCAAAGTAGCGAGATCAAAGTAGCAAAATCAAAGAGCGAGACTCTGTACATTAAATGGTCAATTATGGCATAAAGTGGCGTTGTTTGTAATACTCCTAATCCGTGGAACCTGTATCAAGCGGTCATCCTGCCATTCCCCGTAGGTTACCGCTTAATACAGATTCGACTGTACACTACACTACAGCATTAGTTATATTTACTGGTACGAAACAGTCTGATGGTCATATCTTTTACGGAGACTTAGATAACTTTGCTGCAAACATTTTAATATTTAGTTCCTAGACTTCGCGTGGCGCGTTAACATTCTTGTTTTCGCTAATTTTTTCGGACTTGCGCAATGGACTTTGCCGAAAAGGAGGGCTTGCTTGCAGTCCATTTAGAGATTGAAACCTTTCTCAAATTTTTCTCTGTGTAACATAAAGCAAGATATCATAGTCTCTTACATAAAGATATTGCGAATGAAACACCAGGATTTCTTCAGTTTCGAAAACATAAAATCTTCACCGAATCATACCGACATTTTTGTACATTTTCAAACACAGTAATATTTTTCTCAGGCTCGTTGTTATATGCATTCAGATGTGTTTGGAAGTTTCATTATTTTTTGTTCTATAAAGCCTGGTTTTTATTAGCGTCGAAAGCATAAGCGCAAGCACAAATAAAGCATAACAGCTCTTATTTCACCGTGAAAACAGCCTCTATACAAGCAAAAGACAAGCGCCGGCTTGCACAGGCACAAGAATCAGAATTTTTCCCTTTTCTTGTACTAGTGCTTGTGCTTGTGCTTGTGCTTGTCGACGTTCGTTTTCACTTGGTATATTTAACTTGTGCATACGTTTGTGCTCACGCTTGTGCTTGCGTCGCTAATGAAAACCAGGTTGTACGCCGTTTGTAACTGTAATACCTGATTGCTGATTCCATGGGGAAAATTGTGCTTTAGATCTGATGCACTAGATGAAGTGGAGCTGTCAGTAATTTCCGAAGAACAAGTGGTAACAGTGCCTACAGTGCCTGCCGCAGTTGCGAGGGGGCTATCACCAGAACTTGACATCAAGGCTTACGTAGATAAGGATCAGATCGAGGGGAAGATTCCTGCTGGTTTTGGTGTGTATGATCACTGAGAGTCTCATGAGGATTTGTGGGATTAATGATAACGTGCTTTGATTCATTATTGATCTACCTGTTAAAGAACTTTGTGGATACAGTCAGTTTGGTTTGTCTTGAATGTGACAGATATTAACTAAACGATTGGGTTGGGCTGGTGATAAGGATAATCAAAAAAAAAAAAAAAACAGAAAAAGGCTCTAGAAGTTTACTCGGTATGCAATTGACACCCTTGACAGCAGCTCCCAGTTGGCTTGTTAGTTCAGTTGGTAGAGCGCTGCACCGTTATCGCAGAGGTCATGGGTTCAAATCGTACAGGCCTGAAGTTTTTTCAGGCCTTATTTTCACTACTGCTCAAGTAGTGTTCATTACTGCGAAGATCGCTTTCATATTCATGACACCCTTGTATAGCTTAAGTTAACGCCATTTTTGGCATATTGTATCATGGATCTGTACTATCCTTGGTTTTTGTGGTCAATGCACGCATTTTGGCTTCCTATTAGTAATGTGCTGAACTGGGGACTAGAAAATGCCTTGCACGCCGTTTTTTTGTGGTTGGAAAAAATTGAATTATATTATATCGAGTCTTCACAATGCTCGTTTTCTATGCCTTGCGTTTCCAACTGGTTGAATTAGACTCTTTGTTGGAGTCAAAGCTCACCGAGAAGGTAATGTGCCATCTCGTCGTCAAAGAGTAAGGTGATCAATGATTTCATTATCTTTTTCATTTCCGTGGAGGAAAAGCTCCTTTCTGCAAGCAACAAGTGTACAGAATTATGTGGTGAACTCAATTAATCAGTCGGCTGTCAGTGGCTGTTGCCAATGATCTATAAGAGTGCAGATGCATGGTTTATCTCAAATAAGCTGTTTTTTCACTGCCTCAGCAAATATAGTGTTCAGTTTGACAACTGTTGCGATTATTTTTCGGACTAAGCTTATTAGTAGCGATGTTGACCTCGTCTGTGTCTGTCCTCTGATAGATGATAAGAAAAACGAATCAAAATGCGTGTACGACTAAGTGTCTTCCTACTTATAGATAAACAATGGCGTCAAAATTTAGTTAAAAGAACAAAAAAATAAACATCAGCGACATACGCATGCGCCTTTACCTTAAGTTTTGCCTTTTTTTTCGTTCTACAACATTTTGACGTCACTTGTGATCTATCTTTGTCTGAAAAAACACATAGCAAATTTTGATATATCATCTATCTGTATACGCAGAGGACGAGCATGAGAATATTGATGCTTCTACTCAACGATCCCAACGTGAAAGTAAGTGAAAGAGGGAATCAAGAAGGACATAAACACAAAGCGCAAATAAACAGACTTAATAAAACATTAGTGTAGTTGTGTTACTAAGTCAACATGCATTCATTTCGTTTCTTCAAAGTTTCTTCCTTCTCCGAAGAATATTCATCACACGAGAAACGAGGGCCACATTGAGAGGGTGGTGAAATTCAAGCTTACTTCTTTTTTTGGTGGTTGTTTAATTGAAAAATGTTCATACTTGTGAATCTTTCTTGCATGTGTCTGATTGTTTTACAGAGATAGAGAAGGATTTGGATGATGTTCTGCGTAAGGGTGATTTCCATGCGATTGATCAAAGAGTGACTCCAAAAACCCTGAAAGGGTGTAAAACTAACACCTTAATCAAATCTTTCCAGGTTGGTCTTGTAACTTTATCTTTACCTATTTTACCGGCATAGTTTACTTAGGGCTGTATCGCCAGACCAAGTGACAAAAGTGTTCCTTATTTACTTTGATTTTCGTTTCGTTTCTCCATACGATTAGCTCGTCATGCGCATACCACTCTCTCTACGAATTAGCGTCAAAGTTACAACCAATTGCTACTTGTTCACTGTCTGAGAGTGTACTTGTAAGTTTGAAGTATCACTGGCTTGCAGTTATATCTTGTTTTCTTTCTTATTGGTCATCGAGGTTTCAGTGTACTAATTTACAAAGGACAATCGAAAAAACTCTCCTGCTATGTTCAACACTGGAGGCTAACGAGAAATCAGAAACAATTTCTTTGATTTTTTACGAGCCATTTGATAAAAAAGATAACTTTATTCCTTTTTAAACATAGGTCAACAAAACACTGCGAGATTTAGCGGATGGTGCAAATCCGGAGAAGTACGATATAAAAAAGCTTGAAAAATCTATTGACGAGTTCACATCAGCCTTGATAGATCCCCTTAAAGCCGACGCCGATACCAGAAATACATTTCAAAGTTGTTTTGATGATCTGGTGGACAAGGCAATAGACACGAAGCAGAAGAAGGTACTACACGAGTGATAAAAAGGTTTCCAATCAATACTTTATGATATCCTTCAGCCCTAAAGTCGATTTTAGTGGGAATGCTGTCGCCCATCTGAACACACAGGTGCCCTTACCTTTACGTATTATAAGGGTAAGAAAAGAAGAGAGACAACAATGTTCCCATCAATAACCACCGGTGAGGAGGCTTTGTGGGATATTACAAAGGGGAAAATATATATTTTTTAAGATTTATGCACACAATATTACGGTATACTTGATGCCAATTTAATGTACATGACGTCATTCTTGTCTTTCCGCTGTATGTACAAGGAAGCAATTAATCAATTTCCAGTGAAAGAAATTTATATTCTGGTGAATTTACTGAATGATATGATGCCAAACTGAATGATTTAAAGACACTGAGCATATTCACAGCTCGGCGCCATAGCCAATCCGGTCAGAAATTAGTTTCCAACTTGAACTGTATTAGTTATTTCTAAGAAATCTTTTTTACACCCTTGCTTTAGCAGTTCTATTCTGTTGTAGATCACAGATGACGTCAAAATGTGGCAAGAGCAAAAAAGTCGCTGATGACGCGCGTTCGAGTGTATCACTGATATGTCGCTGGAATTGTTTTGATTTAAATGAAGCCAAAGTAATAAGCAAGAACCAGTCCAAATTCAGCTTATTGCGTAATGAAGAAATGTAAAATGGTTTCCGTGTTTACATAGCTTGATGTAAACACGCGGGAGGTTGGGAAAACACGAGATAAGCGTAGGAAACCACGACGCGAAGCGGAGTGGTTTCCAGCTAAACTAATGAAAGAGGAACGAAAACCGTGTTTACATACGCTCGTGTAAAATGGTTTTATGGCCAATCAGAGCGCGCGTACTATTTGAATTATTTTATAAAATAATGTATCGACGAATTTTTCGTAGTTCATCTCTCACCCAGTGGTGTATAACTTGCTCAACTCCAGATGGTACCGCTCCTTTTTTCAAGTAAGAAAAGAATCATGGCGGACACCTCAACGCTGGGGATACTTTTTTCTCAACCTCTGGACAGTGTTTGACATCGTCTTTTTTCCCTTTCTCTTTGCCATTTTCTTCGTCGTGCATTTGATAAAACAGGCCTTGAGGAGGAAAAGAGGTTTGTAATATCGTTTTTCTAGCATTACATTGTAATACGTTTTTAGCAAGCTCTAAAGTATTCAAAAGGTTTGGGCCTTGAGGGGGGGTGAGGCGCGAAGGGTGATGGCTTTTCTTTTTATTCTTAACTCCATGAAACTGAGTTACCATGCAAGCTGAGTCCTCTCAACTGAAACAATATAGGAGTCCTTGCTAAAACTATGCGCAAAGTGCGGGTCACGCATTTCTTCCATGGCGCGTGAAACGCGCTTCGTGCTTGCCCCGTGTTTGCCTCCATTCGCCTGGAAAACGCCAAAAAACTCCGCCTGTTCTGCAGGCTACATCGTTCAAGGAGCGTTTACAGGTCTGGTATTTATTCTCACTATTCTTAAGATTGGTTTAGATCGCTATATTCAAGTTTTGAGATTAGATACAAGCAGCTACTGGGGAGTTGTTGAGGTGCTCTGTATCAATTGTTGTATGTTTCCTTTATTGATCAGTGGTTTAATCGCTTAGCTTCTAATGCTTTCCTTGATGATTTTTTAGAAACTGAAATATGTTTTGTTTTGACGCCGGGCAAAGATACCTCAGAATTTAATCTAATTAAAAGGACGATAAACTACATTGTTGGTGAATATGGCTGCCTCTCTGCCAAATACTGTGTTGTTTTACATGAAGACCACAAAATTATCGGTAACATCAACTTTAAAGAGAGGTACACTACTGAGGCTGCACTTCGAGCAAGGATTGACCAGTTACAGCGGCCAAACTCAACCAGTTCACTCGGTGAAGATCTTATCGCCACCCGAAGTGCATTCACAAACCAAACACATAGGGAAGAAGCCAAAAAGGTGAGGAATACTTGCGAACAACCGTTTTCTTGAGTGCTGTCGAGTTTTGTCTCTTAACTTGTTCCCATGGGCTCATTTTGCAGTCATGGGCTGTTATCAGGCCTTGGTTAGTTATACTTACAATTCGATACAATTCATATTCAATGTTGATTGATTTTGACGACCGCACGCTACAGTTGAAATATCTTTAACACATAAACACAAATCATATTTTAGTTAGTGTCAATCGATTTAATTTCAACTTTCTGCTATCCATTTCACTATTTCCATTAACTGACGCCTTCTCAGCCAAAGAGCATGCTGACATTTTTGCATACATATTAATGATTTAGTTCTTTATCGTATCTGGTATTGTATGTACATGACAGCTACAGTTATCAGTTGTGTGAACAGATTAATTAAATGGCGAGATAAACAAAACCATCAATAACTTCTGCAATAGATCCCCGGCCAGTAGTTAAGATACTTACAAGCGCATCAGTAATATTTAATGCAAATCCAATTATTGTTTTCTTAAAAGTGTTTTTTTTTTCCATTGAAAAAATTCAAGCAGCTCCTTTAATTTATAAGAAGGCCAGTGTATTTTCAAAATTGATAAGTTTGGGCTCATATTTGATAAAACTTGTAACTTTGTTTTTGAGAATCAAGGGGAATAAATATCACATTTTTTAAATTTTATTTCTACATTAGGTGGTCGTGCTCTTTCTTAATGACTCGATACGCAAGGTTGAGGCTAACACCGAGAGACTACCGCCCTTACTAAAGAAGATAGAGGATATGCAAGTTAACATCGTTCCCGTCGGTATCGGGGTGTGCGCAAAATTATCAGAATTAAATGAGATGGCAACTAAAGATGGCACAGCACGTCACTTTGGAGAATACGAGTCACACGAGACGTTGGGGACAGCTATCTTACAAGGTAACTTGGGGAGGTTTCAAATTACGATATAAGAAAACCCTCCTTAGAATGATTATTCTCCTTATTGGTTTGGGGAAAAAAAGAAAGTATTGCATGCAGTTGTTACAATTTTAACTGAGGAAGGTTTTAAATGGTGGTATATTTTATAAGCTTTAACTTTTCTCCCCACTTCGTAGAAGTGTGACTGGCTTTATAATCGATATGTTTTACTTTCTTACAGGTATCGAAGGAAAGAACATCTATGGTGAGGACGGGTTATTGTTGGTGGTTAGAATTCCAAAGACCGTTGAACTTTTGAACATTCTAAGCTAGCGTCTCAATCATTGTCCTACCCAGTATAACTATGATTACTATGATGTCTTCCAGAGAAATACAAGGATTACTTTACGACTCCTTATTTCATCTTTTTCCGCGACTTGCTGAGCTATCTCATCCTCCTCGTTCTTCACTTCGCCATTTGCCTTTCCCCTTCAACTGTTGCCTTCAGTCGACTAGAATGGGTCATTTTAGGTTTCTTCATGGGACGTGTTTTGGTGGAGGTGGATCAGTTTATTGGTGCCAAGCTGTGGAGGAGGAGTAGACATGGCTCCAGTTACCAAGTAGGTTCACATGAGGGTGAACAAGAGATAAATGAGGCAGAAGAAGACAATATCTTGCCAAAGAAGCTTAGTAATTATTTCAGGTATTTCAGGTTTTATTGTCCGACTTCTAGTTTTTTAATTCTGGATTGTTATTCGTATGGGGCATGATTAGCTAAGAAGGATAGGGAAAAAAAGTTAACGACTTGACGAAGGTAACAAAATGAGTCACTGTTCTCTGCTTAGGTGCACTGGTCATTTTTTTAGAGCTGCATCATCAATCATGAGCTGAAATTGTTCACTGCGTAGGTTCAACAATAGTAACCAGCGTTTATTGTTTTGGTACACCATTAATTAGCTCGTACTCATTGTAACAACAGATATTGTTACATGTAAGTTCTGATTTTCTTGCTTCGTAATTATGCAAAGTGTGTTCATGGATCACATTAAATAAATAATGGTCTTCTAGTACTGATATCTACTACTTTTATAGTGACCGTTGGAATGTGCTTGACTTCATCATTCTTGTTTTGTACCTGATTACCTTCATACTACGCATAATTACATGGAGGAACTCCACGGACGTGTCAGACAACAGACTCTTGGCTGTGTCAGAGTGTTTCTATGGATTTATCGCCATGTTTCTCACACTGAGAACCCTGGTGGTCAAGTCATAGAGGGCGTGCAGGGAATGGGAGCAATACAAATCGCTTTGTTCTCTGTTATCTGGAATGTAATGGCGATATTTTGGCAGTTTTTGGCCATGATTCTAGCATTTTCTCTGGCTATGACCAAGATATATGTTGCCGAGAAGGCTTATACCTTAGGAAAAGATTCCGTGGAGGATTTGTGAGTACACATTGCAATCCTTTGTTGGGCTTATTCATTTGTTACTCTTTTTTGTAGTGGGGTGGAAAATCTTTCCTTTTACGTTATGGAGGGGAACCTCAAGTATGTCTAGGCAACTGACGTGGGAAATAGTGGGCTAAAAGCTAAGCAAGTGAGATTAAGTTTTTTGGAGGGGAAGCCAACAGAAGAGTAAAACTACTCAGTTCAGAATGTCAAATTTTGCATGAAAGGCCGATTTTTTACAGTCTTCATGAATGCTCAAGCAGGAATTCTTAAAAAGAAGCCCCAATAAATAAGTCACTAGGTAGCACCACTACTACACAAAAGGTTTGAAATGAAATTATGACAGCCTGATACCCATTAATCATTGCTGAAGTCGTAGTCATAAATTGTGGGGTCAGAGACTTGCTATTAACTGACTTTTTGTGCTTTTGGAGGTACCCATATGTATGGGCTCAGGAATGTTGACAATTTCTGCGGAACAGCACAACCTTGTAAAATAAAATTTTAGATGGGGGTGGTGTTGATGTAACTTTGACAAGTTCATTTCCTCCTATCATTTTTAGGACATGCAGTGATTCCGGGCTAATTTGGTAAGAGTAAAACTGTTGTTGTTGTTAATTTTTCTACTCTAATTTTAACTTTGTACTCTGATGTCTGAAATAAACAATTTTACACAAAATTTTTGCTAACCTTGAATTTTGGGCTTTCAATATGCTGCGATTATTTAAAAATTTTCAAGCGTGAAATTCTACACCTAGGGGATCGGAAAGGTGAACTAAGGTCTCCCGGGAGGAAAAATAGTGGAAAAAATCATACTGATGTGTTAAAATGAGTACTGACGTTCAACCACGAGCTTTACCAGCCTCATCATGAAAAATTTGCGGGGAAGACGCTCTTTCCTTTCATGGCAGCAGAGTTACTTACTGCAAAAAGGCCAACCCAGCTCTTAGTTTACCTTCTTAAGAGGTACCTTACGGTTTATCCATCTGAGAAAAATCTAGACTTCATCGATGATATTTCTTTTCTCTAGTGGGATCCCTCAGGTTTAAGGATATCTAGTAATAATTTGGATACCAACATACAAATGTGTTGATGTTTGACTTAATGGAGCTTACCAGGAATCTTGAAAGCAAATTTTTTTAATCGATGATCCATGTAGGAGTAGTGACACGATGGCTTCCAGGTTACAGACGTTTAAAAACATTTATGACGATCTCAATTTCAAAAATTGAATGGTGTTTCGATCTAAAAATCGTTACTTATGTTCTTCAGTTGGTGGAACATGGCGACACACCTTGGTTGGTCTTTACTGGGTTTAGCTGACCTGGATAGGTTGAACTCCGTCGACAATCCATCCGTTTATCTTATTCATGTGCTGTACAGCTTCTTTTTAATCATGGCAGTTATTCTTCTTGTAAACATGATGATTGCGTTACTCTCCAATACCTATCAGCAGGTTCAGGTACTAAACGGTCTTTTTACCTTCGCTGATGTATATTAATTCTGTTCATAATCCAGAGTTAAGAAAATATGAGAAGTTCTCGACTGTAAACTTAATAGGACTTTACTGCCGCAAGATATAAAATACATTTTTCGCAAAGTTCAGAAGATTTCATGATCATTTATAAATGTATTTTTGGCCGACTGACGCTTTAGACGAAAATGATGGTGAATATTGTCCCTTTGGTATGATATGTCAAAATATTCTTACGCTATAGGAGTGTCGCCTGTTGTTTTTATTAACTGGTACTTCCTTAGAGGCTGTTACTTCCCTCTCTATTCCTCCTTTATTAGGATAATTCGATGCAGGAGTGGTCTTTCAAGAGAGCAATTACTATTAGGACTTACAGTACCTATCATCCGATACCAGTGCCCTTCAACCTTTTGTCCGTCCCCCTGATAGTACTCTGGAACCTCCGTCGGAAGTGTTCGTGTAAAACATGGTGCGACACTCCTGCTTCGCTCGAGAGACGGGTAAGTTGGTAACGCCTTGCCAATTAGTTTTGTGAGTTTTGACAAGCTGCTGTTGTTTAAAGTTTTCATTTAGGTGTGCTCGGTGATTTTACTTCACTTTCGACGTGGCCCTCTTTGATTCGACAGAGAGAAGCTCTGAATAAAGTGGTGAAGAAGCTAGAAAGGATGTACTTCGAGAAATACGGTTATAAATTTCCCCTCACAGGTGGGTGATGTGCTAGATTGGTATAGATAGCCCCAGAAATCTATGATATGGTCCTAAAAAATAATATCGCGCAAAGAGATGTTGTTCTACTAACCCTTGCTTTGTTATTATCAAATGAACATTTCTAAAGAACTTTAAACCATTAGAGGTAAGAATAAAACAAGAAATAAAAAATCAAATAATTCCATTGATGATGGTTTATTCAAAACGAGGCGTATTGTAAATATTTTGTTCACACGATTCAGAGAAGGCCAATTTAATACTTCGTTCCTCGCTTTGTTTTAGAGGGGAAAAAGATAGATCACCTGGTGCAAGAAAATGAGAGAGGTCGAAAATTGGCCAATCAGATAGTTCGGCAAGTATTCCGACCGCGTGGAAACAAGGAGGAGAAACTTGCGTTTGGCCAAAGAGTGAGTATTTTTCAGGCCCACATTCACGTGTGAATTAAACAGGAAGTTTCCCTACCATATACTATGGATCCTGCTCTATCAGGATACAACTTTTTAACATTTTTAATTTGCATTTTAACCTTTTCCCTTGAACAAAAATTTTAATGTACGATTGAGAAAAAATCACTCAAGAAATGTTGTGCTGCAATTTCCTTCTACCCTTGAAGAAAAACGAACAGTTTTGTAGTGACTTAAATAAGCTGATCTCAAATGCTGCTCCGGAAAGTACAAAAAGTCAGCAAAATATGCTGCGATACGGAAATGAATGGGAGGGTTGTAAATTGAATAAAACCTCTTCTGGCTTGCTGGTATGTCGGCTGATAATGTCCCTGGTTGAGAGATTATCTTTAAGTTTTTAAATTTCTCCTTGAGGCTTCGGTTCTTGGCCAAATATTCATTTTTTGGACAATGTCTCAGCCGCAGACATTTTCAGGTGACATAGCAGTCGCCAAAAGGGGGTCCTTCAGTATACTGAGGTTTTACTCGATTGTTATTTAAAGGCGTGGTATGATTCGCCGGGAATTGCTGTCGATGGCTGTCTCCTAACTTACGTGGGACCAGATTTCTGCGATACATGCAAAAGTGGAGATCCTAAGAAAATTCACAGTGCCAAGTTCAAGTCTCCCTTTACACCTGAGAAACCACGATTTGAGGTGCGGTTTTGACCTATAGAGAATTATTTTCAAACAAAAAATTTAATTTATATACTTCTTGCTTCATGATAGACTCTTTGAAGATGCAACATAATTACATCGCCTTTTTACCCTCTTCCCTTTCATAACCTCTCTCTTGTAGGCGCTCGTATTCTTTTCTATTTTGGAGCACTACAGACACTCATCTTTTTACGAATGAACCTAACGGTGCCTCCATAATAAAAAGACCAGACCGGTTCCAGAAATAAACTTTTTATGTTCCTCTTGTGGTATCCTATTTTCACCTTCGCTTTCATGGTAACGTGTCAACATGGATCTCGTTTGGGCACTTAAGAATAAGTCTCTGTAAGAATCAAACATCTTGGGAAATGAAAATTTTCAACCCCCCTTCAAATTTTGCATGCAGTTAGGCACTCAGGGGGATGCACAAAAATGCCCTTTTTAAAGGTCGCAGCACTCTTGTTGCCATGGTAACAACGGCTGCTTGTTCCAGGCCTGGGGCCTCATTTTCATAAAAAACGTCAAAAAAAAAAGAGTGAAATGTTTATTTCTTTCTCTCAAGCTAAATACAACATTACAAATTGGCACTTATACCATATATAGTAACATCATTCGTCTCCACTTTGATACATTCAATTTTACCTGGGAGTGAATGTGAACACACCAATAGATTATTTATCTCGGTACAGTTTCGGTCATTTTTGTTGTCGGGTAAAAACAGGAAAACGTTTATCTGAATTTCTCCAAAAGTACCCCGATTCTGGAACTGAAACTACCCATCTAGCTGGTTATAATATTCAATTTTTTTAAATATTTAAAAATCTCTGCGGGCCTGCCTCTACTTTTTATAGGGGCAATTCGCGAAAAGAACTCAAAATCAGATATTGCATAATTTGGCGATGTTTACATCTAATGTTCTCAACAACAAACATTTCAGACAAATGAAACGTGCGAGGCTTTGAAAGAATGTTATCTTATGAGAAATATCCCGAAGAGAAATCTAACCTCTGGTTGTCATCTTTTAAAAAACAATTGATCAACCTTCATGGAGGACAACTCGACGTAACTACAAACATATACCTCAAATCGTGTGGATATCATCCAGATTCCGGGTGCTGCGCCTTCTTTCATGGGAATTTGAGGAATCCGAAATCCTCTGAAGATACACTATTATACTTGTATGTCATTTGAAACATGTTGAAGTCGGCTGATCTACACGAAACTATCCTCACACCGGTCATTTGTCATCAACATGTACGTTATCACGATGGCGTGACGCTGTATTTCTTCGTGAAGTTTCCATCGGTCGCTCCAAAAAAGACGAGAAATGGATATTTTTTTCATATATGTCAGTAGGTTTACGCTTTCTGAAGTAAAAACAACCCAAAACAATAAAAAAAGAGGAAACTTCGATTGAAAGCTCGTAAACACTGATAATCTGAGAGTATAAATCGTAACTTGTCAGCAGCAGTAACTCATGTAAAACCCAGTTGCAACAATAGCAATTTGAACGACATAGACATCTCCTACAAAGAGCAGATTCGGGCAGTTATCATTTCCTTGTGACAGAAACTAAGATATTTCGAATCACCTGAAAACTGTCAGAAACTGTTAGAAAATTTGCGTAAGATATGATGAGGAGAGACTTATCACCGCCGTGGTGCAATCGAGTCAATCAATGTTTCCTTCCATGTCTTGATAAAGAAAAACTCATAACAATGTTCGAAATAAAAGATTTAATGAAATCATAATGTCATAATTCCACCTTTCAAACAACTTATTATCCACACGTAAACCGCAACTTGTCACTTGAATGAAACTCCCCATCGTTAATATGTAATCTGGATTGCTTCATGTCCTTCAGGAAAAAGAACAGCGATTTCATCACCATTAATTTCCATACTTTTCTCCCGGATATCTTTTACAAGCTTAAAGAAAGATGAATATAACGCAATCTCCCGGTGATTTACACGAGAGGAAGTCAAAGGTCTCTTTAATTTTCCCCTGAGGTGGCCGACTCACCAGGAAGAAAAAGGAGATCGTTCGGTCCAAATATGTTGGTCTGTAGAGATTAACAAGCTAATAACTGAGAAGATTGTGCCCTTTGGTTCATCAGTGACAGCATTAATTATTTCAAATCTGTATTTCTCGGTCCAAGCGACACCAAAAATAGTTCCTTTGTAATTTTGTAAGCACTTTCTATAGCATTTTATTGTCAAGGGAAATAAATCTAAAGGCTCAAAGCCAATATAACGTTCGAGCACGTGAAAGACTCCCTGAAAAAAGCTAAATTTTTGGAAATTTATTGTGATGAAATCCCTGTTCCGTTTGCAGTACTGCAGGGATACTGAGTAGTTCAAAATCTCCACTTTGTGATGATTTTCGCGCGAGACGCAAAAATTGCTATTGTGGCGACTGGGTTTTACATGAATTACTGCCGCTGACAAGTTGCGATTTCTGCTCTCAGATTCTCAGTGTTAACAAGCGTTCAATCGAAGTTTTCTTCTTTTTTTTTTTTGGTTGTTTCTATTTAGAATGCGCGGAAATCTGCTGATATATCGAAAAATGTCCATTTCTCGTCTTTTTTGGAGCGACCGATGGAGACTTCATGGAGAAATACAGCGTCACGCTAACGTGACAACATACATGTTTATGACAAATGACCGGTGTGAGGATTCGTGTAGATCAGCCGACTTCAGCATGTTTTAAATGACATACAAGTATAACAGTGTATCTTCAGAGGACTTCGGATCGCTAAAATTCCCATGAAAGAGGGTGCAGCACTCGGAATCTGGATGATATCCACACGATTTGAGGTAATTGTTTGTAGTTACGTCGAGTAGTCCTCCATGAAGGTTGATCAATTGTTTTTTAAAAGATGACAACCAGAGGCGAGATTTCTCCTCGGGATATTGCTCATAAGATAACATTCTTTGAAATCCTTGCATATTTCATTTGTCTGAAACGTTTGTTGTTGAGAACATTAGATGTAAACATCGCCAAATTATGCAATATCTGATTTTTGAGCTTCGTTCGCGAATTGTCCCTATAAAAAGTAGAGGCAGACCCGCAGAGATTTTTACATATTTATAAACTAGAATATTATAACCAGCTAGATGGGTAGTTTCAGTTCCAGAATCGGGGTACTTTTGGAGAAATTCAGATAAACGTTTTCCCTGTTTTACCCGACAACAAAAATGACCGAAACTGTACCGAGATGAATAATCTACTGGTGTGTTCACATTCACTCCCAGGGAAAATTGAATAAATCAATGTGAAGACGAATGATGTTACTATGTATGGTAGAAGTGCCAATTTGTAATGTTGCATTTAGCTTGAGAGAGAGAAATAATCATTTCACTCTTTTTATGCGACGTTTTTGTGAGAAAATGAGGCCCCAGGCCTGGAACAAGCAGCCGTTGTTACCATGGCAATAAGAGTGCTGCGACCTTTAAAAAGGGCATTTTTGTGCATCCCTTGAGTGCCTAGCTGCATGCAAAATTTGAAGGGGGGTTGAAAATTTTCATTTCCCAAGATGTTTGATTCTTACAGAGACTTGTTCTTAATCCTGTAACACCTAAGAGTGACTGACATGTAATTTCTCCACACATTATCATCCCTGAGTCAAACATTAGGGTCACAAGGATATCGTAAATTATCACCAACTCAAAAAGCTCTTCATTGTTTAAATAATTCTTCCTTGTCGGCACAATTGTATAGTGAACAGCATGGAAAATATTCATAATTATGTTAGGGTATGAAAGATTAAGTCAAGTTATACGAACTTTGATGGCCACCTTTGAATAGCGCGATGGTGCTATCATTCAGACGAAATTCCTTTTTGGATCAATCGTTTACATTTATATTACTATTATTATTATTATTATTTATATTAGTGCTATTTCTTTGTAATCATCATCATTATTGCAGTTGTTATCATAGCTGCTTTTGTTAATTGTTTCGGATGTTGATTGTTTATATTGTGGCTAACACCGTCTTTATCATCGTTATTATTTTTTTTTGGTCAAAGTAACTAGTATTTCCTCGGTCTCATGAGAAAAAAAACTCATTTGCATACTGAAACAAAAATTAAAAGCGTGGAACTTACGGTAACCGTAACAACAGAGTCTAAAAAATGAAAGTCCGTCATTGTTTTGCAGGTACTTATCCAGGAGACTGGGGAAAGGCGTATTGCGGCTCTGGGTGCTGTGCATGAGTCGTACGACTGTCATAAAATGCCTGGCTGGGATAGTGGAACAGTCGGTTACCATATAGACGATGGCAAAATATTTGAAACTGGCTTCCATGAGCTGGGAAGAAAAGTCGAAGGTATGGGTTACTTTGACGGTAGGTGTACGATATCTGCCACAAGAATCTGTTGGCGCTTGGAAACGTAATCAAAGTCTTACCGTCCTTCTGATGGCGACCTTGCGACAGTAGGTTTCTGTTTTTCAAAAGAAAAAGATTCAGAAATTTTAGTTTGTAAATGTTATAGAGATCACTTTAAAATTGTCATAGACTCCTCGAGACGATTATTCTGATGTGCATGAGGTAAATGGGAAATGTATTGTAGTTGTGTGACCAAGATAGAATGTTGAACGAAGTTGCTTTAAAATCCATGTGCCTGGAGTGTGAAACTGAAAAAACCCTGAATCCTTCGATCGTGGGGGGTTCTAACCCTCACCTTCTGCTTGCCGATCAAATGGTCTACAGAGAGCGCATTAGAGACCAAAGAATAACGAGATTCATATCAACAAATGCTTGACGCTGCTAGGATCATTTATATCGTCAACACTCCTTGTATAAATGCAGTAAAGGAGATTAAACTTTTTTTCGAATGAACGAAGAGGTAGGTCATTAAACAAGACCGAACAACAAGGAAAAAAAGTCCAATTTCACACCCGGGTTTTACACGGTTGGTTGCCTCATGTTTAGTTTATTTTGTTATCTTTTCTCTATGTAATAATGTTTCTGTTGATAACTTAGGAGCCATGGCTTACCACGGCGATCTCATCGCCTGTGAAGTTGATTTTAGGGGAGTTTCCGAGGGGAAAGTCTCTGTGTTGTTCTCCTTGAACGGTAGAGAAGTAGCGCGTTCTTCAGTGGAGTATACCGAGGGAAATGAACTATTTCCCTTCGTTTCATTGGGATTTGAAGGCATTACAGTGCTCACCAAGGTATGTTCAAGTTTGTGTAATTTTAATGTTTGCGAACATTTACAAACTATCCAACCTTTTTACCAAAAGGCTGTGCCCTGATTGCTTTAAGGCAAGAACAGGTAAAGAGCGCGTCGATCTCATCTAACTTTATTTCAAGCACATCTGTATTCCACAATTGTGGAATACAGTTGACAACTTTGATCATCGCTGTCCTAAATTTTTTTCTTATTGATTTTTAAATTTGAGACGTTTGATTTTTGCACGTTTTAGATGTGCCATCCCGACAGAGACCATTTTAGTAGAGTAACAAATGAAGACCTTCAGAAGGAAATTGGAGATCTGAGACGTGATTTTCGGGATCAACTTGACAAGCAAAGGAGGATGTTGTCAGAAATGAGAGATTTAGTACTGCGTTTGAAGGAAGTAAAGGATAAAGATTAGCAAGAAGAAGATACTAAGAGGCTGGACGAAGGAAAACAAAGAAGATTTTTATCCCCTCAGTAGTTTTTCGAGAACATTTATTCAGCTTAGAGCAATCTAAATTTTTGTGAATCCCTGTGCCTTTCTTAAAATTCCTCTAGTCTCGAATGAAGATAGCGGCAGAAGATATTTGTTTATCTTATACTTAGATTAATATTTCTTTCGAATGTAAGCGCGAGGTGGGCACGAAGGGCGAGTCACACGCGAGGAGAGAACTTTACATCTGTGCAACTGATGTGTATGTGATCCCGGTGAACAAAATGATCCTCAAGTTTGAACTGCAATGGACCCGGGGCATTTCAAATTGATCAGCGCATAAGATCATATAGGGGGTACTTACGTAGACTATAGTTGGCGAAGTCCATTATACCAGTCGAAAAAAAATCAGTCGCAGAACTCTGGGAGTGAGGTGCAGCGCGCTGACATCTTTTTTTTTTTTTTTCTCATTGTTGTTTTTTTTTTCACCCCCGAAATTGACTTCGGCGTTTCTGTCACAGTCTGATACGTGTCAATTAGAGAGGAAAAAGAAAGGACGACTGTACACTTTTGAACAAATTGTATTGATATAGTAAGGAGAAATTATTTCTTGGTCACCCATGGGAATTAAAGGTTCCAGACTGGTTTTCTCTCTTACCTTATATTTCTTGGAATAAATGGGCTTAAATTTGTTTTTCGTGGAGAGGTGTTGATCTTCATAATTTGCAATAGTAAACCTTGTAGAATGCGTTAAACTCATCAATCTTTGTCTCCTTGTTTAGGCTTCGCCTTATTTAAATTTATTTTTGAACTTGAAAATATCTGGTTTTTGTAAAAGATGAGGATGTTGTTTAGCATTTGCAAAGAGTAGTTTTATGAGAAGATGAATTGTACACGCATTCTGACTGGTTATTGCTTATGATCTATTGGAGGACAGACGCGTAGTAGACCTATAAGTAGATTACTAGCAAGATCATCGAGGAGCCTTTCCGTTTAAACTGGAAGATGATGACCAGTTCCTAGGCCCCCACATCGCAAGTTTTACCCCCTCCCCGACAAGTTTGCGACGACTAACACGAGTTTTCTCCCAAATACTTTTAAAAGTCCTTTGTTCATGGCTAAAAATATTCTTCGTAATCAGGCATGTTTTGTAAGTTCCGGAGGAAAGACCCACGTTATCTTACAACATTAGAGATTTCACTGCCCTCAATGGATCACAGTCTTACGCATATGCAAATGAAATGTTGGAAACGGAAAGATACCGACTCCTCTTCTATGCAAATGAACCTCCCAAAATTCAACAATTTACCCTCATGCGGCGTCACTGAGAAAAAAATACAGCTGGTATTCCAAAGATATCTTGTTTGCTCTTGTTTAATTTTGCCCTGTTCTCACCACGCCTTCTTTCACAAGTTTCCGCCCAATTAAAAAAGTTCATATCACGAAAACCTTGCCGGTCCGACGAAGAAATATCTATTTCGTTAATTGTTTGTGCGCACTACCAAAATAAAACGTGCTCAACTTGGCTATTTTCTAAGACTACGGCTTCCTGGGGAATAATTTTTTTTTAATCAAACAAATAACAAAAAGGAAAAGAGCTGCATTAAGAAAATATTTGTTGGTGAAAATAGTCGAAAGTATTCATTACAATCAAAATGGATTTGTGGGATGAAGATCTGTGTTTGATGCAGTGTAGACCACCGAGGATAGTTTGGGAATGACAAATAGCTCTGGAATCTTGGTTGCCATAGATTTTGAAAAAGCATATGATTCTGTTACCCATGATTTTCTATTTAAAGTTTCGGAAAAATTTAACTTTGGATCGTATTTCATGCATTGGATAAGAACCTTTTATACAGATATGTCAAGATGTACTAAGAATAACGGTTTCAATACAAATTCTCTTTTGTACAAAGCATAGGGTTCGTCGTGATCTCTCGCACCTTTGTTTTTTATCTTGGACCTGAGAATTCTCGCTTGTCAAGTTAGAAGATAGCAGTATAGAAGGAATAAGAATTTAACTGCATTCGCTGTTGATATGACCTGTTTTTCAAATATATGCGTGCTCGTATGTGCGTCTAGAGGCATATTTGAGATTTTCTGGTAAACAATGTTAAAAAAAAAAAATCTTGAAGCAGTGGTGAAAGGATACTTATCTCAAGCATGTGAAGAATTCACTTCCAAAGTGAGGCTTGCTGCAAATTGACCAATCACCGTCGAGATTTTTGTACACTTCAGCCTTGATCTGCATACGTGTATGCGTTAATTTTTGTACTCACTCATTGTAAACGGGTTGAGGAAAGAAAACTAGAAGCCAATCGATTCTTCGTTACAGCTACTATTTTGTAGAACTCTATTCCAGCATATAATCCATAGGGATTTTCACGCGGCTTGCATAGGAAGATAATGGCCGACCCTGGGAATTGTGAGAAGTAAGTAATGATTGTCAATGTTTTGATTGAATTATTTCGTCACAGCGAGTTCTCATTTGCGGCTAACGTTATGTCTTGAACTTAGGAGAGATTGTTAGTTGTGTGGAAAATCACAGATTAAATGGGTTTCCCATTCGGAGTTGATTCGACTCAGCTCTGTTCTGTTATCGTGCAGTGGACTTGAGGTGTTGAATATTGCGGAAAAACTCTATGCAAACGCACTTTCACTAAGATTGACTTGGAAATGAGTTACCACATAAGAAAGAAAACTTTGTTGAGGTCATATATTCTTTTAAAATTAGTTCTCATAAAGAAATCCTGGCCTTAGTTCTGAACGCGTTTTTTCTTTCGGTCCTGATTTAGCGAAGGTGGTTTTAAAACATGTTTGAGAAAAATTTCCGCTCTGCCCCTCACTCATTATGCACACTGAGAAGAAACAAGATACAATAGCAACGCTGTTATTGATTTCCTGTGGGACTACGGCTCTGTTTGTGGTTTTTGATTCGTTCCTTTTATCACGTTCTCTTGAGTGGCTCACAAATTAAATTCTGTGACGATGTTATTTTAACAAAGCGATGAAGTTGTTTTCGTAATCAATAATAGTTGTTTTTTATTTATTTATTTTTATAAGAGGATCATTGCATTTTAGTTGCAACAGAAACTGTAGAAGTCACTTTGAACACACTGCTTTATTGAATTCAACAGCTCCGTTTATATAGAGATGCATGAGAGTCTAGAACATCTAATGCATAAATCAGCTAGCATAGCCTGCAGGAATGCCCTCATCGTGAACGCTTCGGCTTGTGTGTTTCTTCGCCCGCGGGAAAGAAAATCTTGAGCAGCGCTAGTTAGCGAGAGGTCTGTGGTGATAATGTTTGACTAAGCGCACCACTCAAGCATAGCAAAATAAACAAAAAAAGGATCAATATCAGCAGTTGGGAACAGACTCTTTTATAAAACTACCGTACAATATAATCTTTCAAGTAACTTTTAATCCCAAAATCAAAGTAGCGAGATCAAAGTAGCAAAATCAAAGAGCGAGATTCTGTACATTAAGTGGTAAATTATGGCATAAAGTGGCTTTGTTTGTAATACTCCTAATCCGTGGAACCTCTATCAAGCGCCATTCCCCGTGAGTGACCGCTAAATACAGGTTCGACTGTACACTTTACTACAGCATTAGTTATATTTGCTAGTGCGAAACGGTCTAATGGTCATATCATTTACCGAAACTTAGATAACTTTGCTGAAAACATTTTTAATATTTAGTTCCTTGACTTCGCGTGGCGCGCTAACATTCTTGTTTTGGCTGACTTTTCCAGACTCGCGCAACGGACTTCGCCGAAAAGGGGGGCCTGCTCGCAGTCCACTTGTTGAAACCTTTTTCTCGGTTTATCATACAGCAAGATATTATAAACAATACTTAGTCTCTTGTGTGCAGATATTGCGGATGAAATACCAGGATTTCTTCAGTTTCGAAAACATAAAATCTTCACAAAATCATACTGACATTTTTGTACATTTTTAAATACAGCAATGTTTTTCTCAGGCTCGTAGTTATGTGCATTCAGACGTTTTTGGAAGTTTTATTATTTGTTGTTCTATAAGGCCTAGTTTTCACTAGCGACACAAGCATAAGCGCAAGCACAAATGTAGGCATAACAGCCCTTATTTCACCATGAAAACGACCTCGATGCAAGCATACAAACAAGTGCATGCCTTTTCTTGTACTAGTGCTTGTGCTTGTCGACGTTCGTTTCCACTTGGTATATTTTACTTATGAGTGCGTTTGTGCTCACGCTTGGACTTGATAATTATAATAATAACAATAATATTTATTATTTGTAACGCGCATTTTACATGTGCATATGATCAAATGCGTGATAAAATAAATATAATAAAAATAAATAGAAATATAAATGTTAGATAAAAATTAAATACTCGGCCCTGCATCAAAATATACAAAAGGATAAAATAATATAAATAATATAGAACAAAAATTTAAAACTTGAATAAAAGCTATAAAACTAAATATCAATTCAGCAAAATGGTTTGAACCCGGCGGTGACATGTAATTGTGTAGTTTAATCGTTCGGGTAAGTGTAGTCCTGAGAAGGACTGTTGTCGGTAGTGGTGTCTTAGTAGTCACTCCTTAGTAGTCACCACTACCGACAACAGTCCTTCTTAGGACTACACTCGCCCGGACGATCAAACTACACTATTACATAAATATCAATTATGATATGCTACATTGAAATAGTATGTCTTCAATAGAGATTTAAATTTAATGAAGTTATATTTGCATTTCTTATTGAACTAGACCCTGTGAGCAGGGTAACTGGGATACCTGGATGGTACTGGATCCTTGGAATCAAGTCTAGTGATACTACGGGTGTCGTACTGGTATACTGAAATAGTGAGCTCAAGTCTGGCCAAGGACATACACCTATTTCAAAACATAGGCATGCTATGCATGCAAGAGTTATTTTTTGTAGGGTGGGTGGATTACTTGAAACATTGTAAGTGGTCTACATTATTACAAAAGGAAAGAAGAATATTAACGCGGAAAATTTTGAAATTTATTCTCAATTTAACAGGCAACCAATGTAAAGAACGTAAAACTGGTGTTATATGACAGAATCTAGGAACAATGCAAACTAACCTGGATGCTGTATTTTGAACTCTTTGCAGCTTATTTAAATGGGTATCGGGCACTCCCAAAAGAAGGCTATTACAATAATCCATTCCTCCCATAACTAATGCATGAACTAATATTTCCGCAGATTCTCTAGAAAGATATTTCCTAATGCGCCTTAAATTATGTAAAAAGGAAAATGCTGCATTACATGTCTTATTAATGTGTAGTGAGATTCATGTTCGTATCGAACATGTGCTTGCGTCGCTAATGAAAACCAGGCTTTACACCGTTGGTAACTAGAATACTTGAGTACTGATTTTATGGTGTAAATTGTGCTTTAGATTTGATTCACTAGAGGAAATGGAGCTGTCAGTATTTCCTGAAGAACCAGTGGTAGCAGTTGACTGTGAGCCTGTGCCTTCCGAGCCTACGAGGAGGCCATCACCAGAACTTGATTTCGAGACTTTCGAAGTAACATGCGTTGATCAGGATCAGGTCGAGGGGGAAATTCCTGCTGGTTTTGGTATGTATGATCACAAAGAGTCTTACAGGGATTGGTGGCCTTTATGATAACGTTCCTTGATTCATTATTGAACCACCCGTTACAGAATTTTGTAGATGCAGTCAATTTGGTTTGTCTTGAATATGAAAGATATTATCTAAACGATTGGGTTGGAATAGTGATGAGGATAATCACCAAATAGGCTGTTTTGCATCCGCCTCAGCAAATATAGTGTACAGTTTGACAACTGTTGCGATTATTTTTCGGACTAAGCTTATTTGTTGCGATGTTGACTCGTCTGTGTCTGTCCTCTGATAGATGATAAGAATAATTAATCCAAATGCGTGTACGACTAAGCGTATTCCTACTTATAGATGAACAATGGCGTCAAAATTTGGTTAAAAACAAAAACAAAAAAATAAACATCAGCGACATACGCAGGCGCCTTTACTTTACGTGCTACCTTTTTTTCGTTCTACATATTTTGACGTCACTCATGATCAACCTTTGAAAAAAAAAGTGGCAAAATTTGATATAAATTTCCTTTCTATCACCTATTTATAGAACCAGAGGACGAGCATGGGGGTATTGATGCTTCTAATCAACAATCTCAACATGAAGGTAAGTGAAAGAGGGCGTCAAGGGAGACACAAACTCAAGACGCAAATGAACAGACTCCTAAAACATTGGTGTAATTGTGTTACTGAGTCAACATGCATTCATTTCGTTTATTCAAAGTTTATTCCTTCCCCAAAGACTGTTCATCACACGAGGAACGAGGGCTACATTGAGAGGGTGGTGAAATTCAAACTTACTGCTTTTTTCGGTGGTTGTTTAAATTGAAAAATGTCCATACTTGTGAATCATTCTTGTGTGTGTCTGATTGTTTTACAGAGATAGAGAAGCATTTGGATGATGTTCTGCGTGTGGGTGATTTCGATGCGATTGATCAAACAGTGACTCCAAAAACCCTGGCAAGGTGTAAAACTAACACCTTAATCAAATCTTTCCAGGTTGGTCTTTTAACTTCATCTTTACCTATTTTACCGCCATAATTTACTTAGAGCTGTTTAGCCAGATCAAGTTACAAAATTGATCCTAATCACATAGATTTTGTTTCACTTCTCCATATGATTAGTTCGTCATGCGCATACCGCTCTCTCTACTAATTAGCGTCAAAACTACAACCAATTGTTTCTTGTTCACTGTCTGAGAGTGTACTTGTAACCTTGAAGTATCACTGGCTTGCAGTTATATCTTGTTTTCTTTCTCATTGGTCATCGAGGTTTCAGTGTACTAATTTGCAAAGGACAATTGAAAAACTCTCCCGCCTTGTTCAACAACTGGAGGCTAACAAGAAATCAGAAACAATATTATTGATTTTTACGAGCCATTTGATGAAAACGAAGTCTTCATTTCTTTTTAAACTCAGGTCAACAAAGCACTGCGAGATTTAGCAGATGGTGCAAACCCGGAGAAAGACGATATAGAACATCTTGAAAAATCTATGTGCGAGTTCACAGCAGCCTTGATAGATCCTCTTAAAGCCGACGCCGATACCAGAAATACATTTCAAAGTTGTTTTGATGATGTGGTGGACAAGGCAATTGACACGAAGCAGAAGAAGGTACTACACGAGTGATAAAAAGGTTTCCAATCAATACTTTATTAAGACGATTCTAGTGGGAATGCTGTCGCCCATCTGAACACATAGGTGCCCTTACCTTTACGTGCTATATACGTAAGGAAAGAATAGAGACAGCAATGTCCCCACCAATAACCACCGGTAAGGAGGCTTTGTGTGATATTGCAAAGGGGAATATATATTTTTAAGATTTATGCACACAATATTACGGTATACTTAGTGCCAATTCAATGTACAAGACGTCGTTTTTATGTCTTTCCATTTTTTTTACAAAGAAGCAATTAATCAATTTCCAGTGAAAGAAAGTTATATTCTGGTGAATTTACTGAATGATGTAACGCCAAACTGAATGATTTGAAGACACTGAACATAACCACAGCTGGGTGCTATAGCTGATCCGGCCAGAAATTAGTTTTCGGCTTAAATTGTATCAGTAATTTCTAAGAAATCTTTCACACCCTTGCTTTAGCAGTTCTATTCTGTTGTAGATCACAGTCGTGAAGTCAAAATGTGGCAAGAGCAAAGAGGTGGCACATGACACGCGGCCGGGTGTATCACTGATATGTCGCGAAAATTGTTTTGAATTAAATGAAGCCAAACTTTGTTAATGATGACTTCCCCTATGAGGCTCTCCTCTGATAAGTAATAAGCAAAAACTAGTCCAAATTCAGCTCATTGCGTAAAATAATGTATCGACGATTTTTTTCGCAGTTCATCTCTCACCCGGTGGTGTATAACTTGCTCAACTCCAGATGGTACCAATCCTATTTTCACGTAAGAAAAGAATCATGGCGGACACCTCAACGCTGGGGATACTTTTTTCTCAACCTCTGGACAGTGTTTGACATCGTCTTTTTCCCCTTTCTCTTTGTTAGTTTCTTCGTCGTGCATTTAATAAAACAGGCCTTGAGGAGAAAAAGAGGTTTGTAATTTAGCATTACATGGTAATGCGTCTTTAGCAAGCTCTTAGGTATTCAAGAGGTTTGAACCTGGAGGAGGAGAGGGGGAGGCGCGGAGGGTGATGGTTTTTTGTATTTTATTCCTAACTCCATAAACCTAGGTTACCATGCAAGCTGAGTCCTCTCAACTTAAGCAATACAGGAGTCCTGGCTAAAACTATGCGTGAGGTGCGGGTCACGTGTTTCTTCCCCGACGCGTGAAACGCGCTTCGTGCTTGCCTCGTGCTTGCCACCATTCGCCTGAAAAAGACCCAAAAAATACGCCTGTTCTACAGGCTACATCGTTCAAGGAGTGTTCACAGGCCTGGTATTTGTTACCACCTGATCATAACAGTCTTAAGAGTGGTTGGGATCGTTCTAAACAAGTCTTGAGATAAGATACGAGCAGCTACTGGAGAGTTGTTGTGGTGCATGGTATCAGTTGTTACAAGTTTCCTTTATTGATCAGTGGTTTATTCGTTTAGCTTATGATGCTTTCCTTGATAATTTTTCAGAAACTGAAATATGCTTTGTTTTGACACTGGGAAAAGATAGCTCAAAAGAAGAATTTGATCTGATTAAAAGGACAATGAACTACATTGTTCGTGAATATGGCTGTCACTTTGCCAAATACTGTGTTGTTTTACATGAAGACCACAAAATGATCGGTAACATCAACTTTAAAGAGAGGTGCTCTACTGAGGCTGAACTTCGAGCGAGGATTGACGCGTTACAGCTGCCAAGCTCTACCAGTTCACTCTGTGAAGATCTTATGGCCACCCGAAGTGCATTCACAAACCAAACACATAGGAAGGAGGCCAGAAAGGTGAGGTATACGTGCGCGCAACCGTTTTCTGAAGCGCTGCCGAGTTTTGTCACTTAACTAGTTCCCATGGGCTCATTTTGCAGTCATGAGCTGGCTATCAGGCCTTGGCAAATTATACTTACCAATTCGTATTCAGTATTGATTGATTTTGACGACCGCACGCTACAGTTGATTTATGTTTAAAACATAAACACAAATCATGTTTTTTTGTTAGTGTCATGGCTCATAGGCCGGCCTCTTGCATTTGCCCTCTTGCCGGAGAACTCAGGCTTTTCCTTCTTGCTTCAAGCTTTTAAACTCGCTGTCACGAATAATCGAGCGTCTATGCTCTTTCTCTATTAGATATCAGCATGAGAAAACATGTCCCACTATTTTCCCTTGATATAGGTAAAAGCAATAACCATTTCACGATTGCTATCGGCTCGTGATCTTCCCGCCTTTCTTAAGAACTATTGCGTAAAACTCCTCGGGAATTTTGTTCAGGACCTCCGGTACGTCCCTTTTAAATAATTTGTTTTTAAGTCCCAAAAGTTTCAGACTTTTAGCCGGATGTTTGTGCTTTTTGGGGTATCTTTTCTCTTAGTATTCTCCCGTAAACTCTGAACCAAAACGTGGTTACTCTCCCTGACTTGTCCGCGGTTTTGTTCTGCTGTGCTTTCGCGACTCTCTTGTCAATCGATTTAATTTCAACTTTCTGCAATCCATTTCACTTTTTGCATTCAGTTTCAACTCTCTACACAGTTTGGGATTAACTGACGCCTTCTCAGCCAATCAGCATGCTGAAATTTTGTGCATACATATTAATGATTTAGTTCTTTATCTTATCTGGCATTTCATGTACATAACAGCTACAGTTATCAGTTGTGTGAACAGATTAAACGGCGAGATAAACAAAACTATTATAACTCATGCAATAGATCCATTAAGATACTCACAAGCACATCAATAATATTTTTGCGAATCCAATCCTTGTTGCTGAAAGTGTAAATTTTTTTTTATTGAAAAATTCAAGCAGCTCTTTTATCAGAAGGCCATTGTTGTTCAAGATTGATAAGTTTGGGCTCATATTTGATAAGACTTGTAAATTTGTTTTTGAGAATCAAATGGAATAAATATCACCTTATTTTTAATTTTATGTTTATATTAGGCGGTCGTTCTCTTTCTTAATGACTCGTTACGCATGGTTAATGCTAACATTGAGAGACTACCGCCCCTAAAGGAGATAAAGGATATGCAAGTTAACATCTTTCCCGTCGGTATCGGGGAGTACGCCAAATTATCAGAGTTAAATAAGATGGCAACTAAAGATTGCACAGCACGTCACTTTGGAGAATACGAGTCACACGAGACGTTGGGGACAGCTGTCATACAAGGTAACATGGGGAGGTTTAAAATTTCGGTATAAAAAAAACCCTCCTTACAATGATTATTCTCCTATTTGGTTTGGGAAAAAATAAGAAAGCATTGCATGCAGTTGTTACGATTTGAATTGAGGAAGGTTTTTAACGGTGCTATATTTTTAAAAGCTTTTACTTTTCTCCCCACTTCTCGGAAGCGTGACTGGCTTTATAATTGATATGTTTTACTTTCTTACAGGTATCGAGGGAAAGAACATCTATGGTGAGGACGAGCTATTTTTGGTAGCTAGATTTCCAGACCGTTAAACTTTTTTTTTTTCTAATAATTTTCGCTAGACCGTCAGTGCTTCCAGAGTTTTCTTTTGATGGTCTCCATTCTAAGCTAGCGTCTCAATCATTGTCCTACCGAGTATAACTATGATTATTATGATGCCTTCCAGAGAAATACAAGGATTACTTTACGACTCCTTATTTCGTCTTTTTCCGCGACACGCTGAGCTATCTCATCCTCCTCGTTCTGCACTTCGCCATTTGCCTGTCCCCTTCAGCTATTGCGTTCAGTCGACTAGAATGGGCCATTTCAGTTTTCTTCCTGGGACGCGTTTTGATGGAGGTGGATCAGTTTATTAGTACTGAAAAGGCTGGTATGAAAGAACGTATGCTGTGGAGGAGGAAAAGGGATGGCTCCAGCTACCAAGTATGTTCACATGAGGGTCAACAAGAGACAAATGAGGCAGAAGAAGACAATATCATGCTAAAGAACCTTAATAATTATTTTAGGTATTTCAACTTTCTATTGTCTGTTTGTTAGTGACAATAGTAGATTCTCATTCATGTTGGGGGCATGATCAGCTAGGAAGGATGGGGAAAAAGAGTTAACAGCTTGAAGAAGGTAACAAAATGAGTCACTGTTCTCTGCCTGGTACACTGGTAATTTTTTAGAGCTGTATCATTAGTCATGAGGTGACATTGTTCACTGCCTGGGTTCATTGATAGCAACCAGTGTTTATTGTTTTAGTACACCGTTAATTAGCTCGTACCCTTTGTGTAAAAAAAATAGTGGAACATGTAACTGATTATCTTGCTTTATAATTATGCAAGATCTAGCTGTTCACGGATTACATCAAATAAATGGTCTTCTAGTACTGATATCTACTACTTTTTTAGTGACCGTTGGAATGTGCTTGACTTCATCATTCTTGTTTTCTACCTGATTACCTTCATACTACGCATAATTACATGGAGGAACTCCACGGACGTGTCAGAAAACTCACTCTTGGCTGTCTCAGAGTATTTCTATGGATTTATCGCCATGTTTCTCACACTGAGAGCCTTTGGTCAAGTCATAGAGCGCGTGCGGGGAATGGGTGCAATACAAATCGCTTTGTTCTTTGTTATCTGGGATGTAATGGCGATATTTTGGCAGTTTTTGGCCATGATTCTGGCATTTTCCCTGGCTATGACCAAGATATATGTTGCTGAGAAGGCCTATACCTTAGGAAAAGATTCCGCGAAGGATTTGTGAGTACATAGTGCGATCTTTCTAAAGTATCGAAACCGTGAGTGACAGATTCTAACTTGCTGGGCTCATTCATTTGTTACTCTTTTGTAGTAGTGGGGTGGAAGAGTTTTCCTTTTACATTATGGAGGGGACCTCATGTATGTCTAGGCACCCAATGTAGGAAACAGTGGGCTAAAAGCTAATCAAGTGAGATTTAGCTTTTTGGATGGAAAGCCTGACAGGAGGGTAAAACTACTCAGATCAGAATGTCAAACGTTGCATGAAAGGCCGATTTTTACAGTCTTTATGAATACTCACGCAGGCCTCAATAAATAAGTCACTTCGTCGCGCCACTAATACAAAAGGTTTGAAATCAAATTATGATAGCCTGATACCCATTAATCATTGCTGGGTCAGTCGTAGTCATGAATTGTGGAGTCAGTGACTTGCTATACACCGTGAATTTTTGTGTTACGGGAGGTATAAGTTCAGGAATGTTAGTTAACAATTTCTCTGGAAAAACACAACTGTGTAAAATAAAATTCGGAGGGGGGAGTGGTTATGTAACTTTGACAATTTCTGTTGGTTAAACCGTAAACCATGACAACAGTTTCTTTAACCATTCATTTTTCCTATCATTTTTAGGGCATGCAGTGATTCCGGGCTAATTTGGTAAGAATAAAATTGTTGTTTTTTCTACTCTAATTTTAACTTTGTACTCTGATGTCTAAAATATACCAGGTTACACGAAATTTTTGCTAACCTTGAATTTCGCGCTTTCAATATGCCGCGATTATTTTAAAAAGTTTCAAGCGTGAAATTCTATACCTGAGGGGTCGGAAAGGCTAATTAAGGTCTCCCGAGAGGAAAAGAAGTGAGAAAAAATCATTCTGATGTGTTGAAATAAGTACTGATGTTCAACACTGAGCTTTATCAGCTTCATCATGAAAATTTGCAGGAAAGACACTCTTTCCTTTCAGGGCAGCAGATTTACTAGAACAAGAAGCAGAGCTGCGAGTGAAGAAACCCTCTTTGCCCCCCATCCCTCTCGCGGCTTCGCGTCCGATTAATTAACGCTACTTCAGACTTCATCGTTGCTATTTCTTTTTACCAGTGGTATCCCTCAGGTTTAAGGTTATCTTGTGATATTTTGGATACCAACCCTTAAATGTGTTGGTGTTTCACTTGATGGAGCTGACCAGGAATCTTGAAAGCAAATTTTGAAATCGATCATCCATGTAGGAGTAGTGACACGATGGCCTCCAGGACACAGACGTTTGAAAACATTTATGGCGGTCATAACAATCTCAATTTCAAAAATTCAATGGTGTTTCGATCTAACTCGTTGCTTATGTTCTTCAGTTGGTGGAACATGGCGACACACCTTGGTTGGTCTTTACTAGGTTTAGCTGACCTGGATAGGTTGAACTCCGTCGACGATTCATCCGTTTCTCTTATTCATGTGCTGTACAGCTTCTTCTTAATCATGGCAGTTATTCTTCTCGTGAACATGATGATTGCGTTGCTCTCAAACACCTATCAGCAGGTTCAGGTACTTAACAGTCTCTCTGCCTTCGCTGATGTATATTAATTCTGTTCATAATCCAGAGTTAAGAAAATATGAGAAGTTCTCGACTGTAAACTCGGTAGGACTTTTTTGGCGTAAGATACAAAATACATTTTTCGCAAAGTTCAAAAGATTCTATGATCATTTATAAATGTACTTTTAGCCGACTGACGCTTTACACGAAAATGATGGCGAATATTGTCCCTCTGGTATGATATGCCAAAATATTCTTCCGCTATAGGAGTGTCGCCTGTTGTTTTTATTAACTGGTACTTCCTTAGAAGCTGTTAAGTCCCTCGCATTCCTCTATTATCAGGATAATTCACTGCAGGAGTGGTCTTTCAAGAGAGCCATTACTGTAAGAACTTACAGCACCTATCATCCGATACCAGTGCCCTTCAACCTTTTGTCTGTCCCCCTGATAGCACTCTGGAACCTATGTTGGCGCGACACTCCTGCTTCGCTCAAGGGCGGACGGGTAAGCTGCGGCCTTGCCAATTAGTTTTGTGAGTTTTAACAAGCTGCTGTTGTTTAAAGTTATCGTTCACGTCTGCTCAGTGATTTTACTTCACTTTCGATGTGGCCTTCTTTGATTCGACAGAGAGTAGCTCTGAATAAAGTGGTGAAGAAACTAGAAAGGATGTACTTCGAGAAATACGGTTATGAATTTCCCCTCACAGGTGGGTGATATGCTAGATTAGTAGATAGCCCCAGAAATCTATGATATGATCATAAAAAGAATATGGCGGAAAGAGATGTTTTTCTACTAAACCTTGCTTCGCTATGATCAAAGTAATAGTTCTAAAGAAGTTTATACCATGACAGACAAGAAATAAAAAATCACAAATTAAGAATTCCAGTAATGATAATCTATTTATAACGAAGGGTATCGTAATGATTTTGCGGACTAGATTCAGAAGAGACCAATTTAATATTTGGTTCCTCGCTTTGTTTTAGAGGGGAAAAAGATAGATCACTTGGTGCATGAAAATGAGGGAGGACGAAAATTGGCCAATCAGATAGTTCGGCAAGTATTCCGACCGCGTGGAAATAAGGAGGAAAAACTTGCGTCTGGCCACAGAGTGAGTGTTTTTCAGGCCCACATTCTTATGTTAATTAAACAGGAAGTTTCCCTACCATATACTATGGATCCTGCTCCATCAGGATACACCTTTTTAACCTTTTTAATTTGCATTTTAACCTTTTCCCTCGAACACAAATTTAAATGTACGATTGAGAAAATCTTTCAAGAAACGTTGTGCTGTAGTTTCCATGTTCCCTTGAAAAAAAAACGGACTTGTTTTGTAGTGACATAGAAAAGCTGATCTGAAATGCTGCTCCAGGAAGTACAAAAAAAGTCAACAAAACTCGCTCTCAATGCGCGATACGAAAAGTAATGGGAGGGTTATAGCTTGAATAAAACCCCTTCTAGCTTGCTGGTATGTCGGCTGACAATGTCACTGGTTGAGAGATTGTCTTTAAGTTTTCAAATTTCTACTTGAAGCTTTGGTTCTTGGCCAAATGTTCATTCTTGGACAATGTCTCAGCCGTAGACATTTTCAGGTGACATACCAGCCGCCTGAAGGGGTCCATCGTGTTACTGAAGTTTTGTTTGATTGTCATTTAAAGGCGTGGTATGATTCGCCGGGAATTGCTGTCGATGGCTGTCTCCTAACTTACGTGGGACCAGATGTCTGCGACATATGCAAAAGTGGAAATCGTAAGAACATTCACAGTGCCAAGTTCAAGTCTCCCTTTACGCCAGAGACACCAAGATTTGAGGTGTGCTTTCGATTTATAGAAAATTATTTGCGAACAAAAAATTTAATTCATATACTTCCTGCTTCATGATAGATTCTCTGAAGATGCAACATAATTACATTGTCTTTTTACCCTCTTCTCTTAAATAACCTCCCTCTTGTAGGCGCTGGTATTCTTTTCTATTTTGTAGCTCTACAGGTACTAATTTTTCTAAGAATGAGCTTAACGGTGCCTCCATAATAGAAAGACCAGACCGGTTCCTGAAAAACATCTTTATGTTCCTCTTGTGGTATCCTATTTTCACCTTTGCTTTAATGGTAACGTGTCAACATGGATCAAGTTTGGGCACTTAACCCTGTAACACCTAAGAGCGACTATGATGCCAATGTCTCCACACTTTATTATCCCTGAGTCGAACATTAGGGTCACTTGGATAAAGTAAATGATCACCAACCGAAACAGCTCTTCATTGTTTAAATAATTCTTCCTTGTCAGCACAATTGTATAGAGAACAGCATGGAGAATATTCATAATTATGTTAGGGTATGAAAGGTTAAATTTATCTCCTTTATATCCTTAGATTAGTGTGTTGCTTTGTAATCATCATCATTATTGCAGTTGTTATTATAGCTGCTTTTGTTGTTTATATGATCATTATTTCGGATGTTAATTGTTTATATTATGGCTAACATCGTCTTTATAATCGTCATTATTTTGCTTTGGTCTAAGAAACTAGTATTCCCTCGGTCTCATGAGCAAAAAAACTCATTTGCATACTGAAACAAAAATTAAAAGTATGGGACTTATGGCAACCGTAACAACAAAGTCTAAAAAAGAAAAGGCCGTCATTGTTTTGCAGGTACTTATTCAGGAGACTGGGGAGAGGCGTATTGTGGCACTGGGTGCTGTGCATGAGTCGTACGACTGTCACAAAATGCCTGGCTGGTATAGTGGAACAGTCGGTTACCATATAGACGATGGCAAAATATTTGAAACTGGCTTCCATGAGCTGGGAAGAGAAGTCGAAGGTATGGGTTACTCTGACGATAGGTGTACGATATCTGCCACAAGGATCTGTTGGCGCTTGGAAACATAATTAAAGTCTTACCGTCCTTCTGAGGGCGACCTTGCGACAGTAGGTTTCTGTTTTCCAAAAGAAAAAGATTCACAAATTTTCGTTTGTGAACGTTATAGGGATCACTTTAAATTCGTTATAGACTCCTCGAGATGATTATTCTGACGTGCATGAGATAAGTGGGAAATGTATTGTAGCTGTGTGATCAATAGAATGTTGAACGTAGTTACTGTAAAATCCATGTGCCTAGAGTGTGAAATTGAAAAAACCCTGAATCCTTCGATCGTGGAGGGTTCCAACCCTCGCCTTCTGCTTGCCGATCAAATGGTCTACAGAGAACTCATTTAAGGCCAAAGAAAAACAAGATTCATATCAACAAATGCTTGACGCTACTAGGATCATTTATATCGTCAACACTCCTTGTATAAATACAGTGAGGGAGATTAAACTTTGTCTTCGAATGAACGAAGAGGTAGGTAATTGATCAAGACCGAACAACAAGGAAAAAAAGTCCAATTTCACATCCTGGTGTTACACGGTTGGTTGCCTCATGTTTAGCTTATTTTGTTATCTTTTTGCTATTTACTTAATTTTTTCTGTTGATAACTTAGGAGCCATGGCTTACCGCGGTGATCTCATCGCTTGTGAAGTTGATTTTAGTGGAGGCCCCGAGGGGAAAGTCTCTGTGTTGTTCTCCTTGAACGGTAGAGAAGTAGCGCGTTCTTCAGTGGAGTATACTGAGGGAAATAAACTATTTCCCTTCGTTTCATTGGGATTTGAAGGCATTACAGTGCTCACCAAGGTATGTTCGAAAGATGGAGGGGGGGGAGGGGGGGGGGAGGGGGAGGGGGAGGGTAATGGGCTAGAAATCTATAAATGGTATGGTTTCATCAGTAATCTGCCAACATATCATACCTCGGCACACTCCTCCAGCTACAATTAATCGAGGGATTGTTCCTGTGACCAAATTGAAAGCATGTGGAGAGGGAGCTCTCTCTACGGCAGCTATCAGGCTCTAGAATCAAAAGAAGAACTTTGTCGTATCCAGTGTTAAAAAGACCACAAAAATTTTGTTCAAGTCTGTGTAATTTTAATATTTGCGAACATTTACAACTTTCTACCAAAATTCAGTGCCCTGATTGCTCTTAATTAAGGTACGAACAGGGAAATAGCGTGTCGATCTAATTTTTAGAATTCTATATCAGGCATATCTGTATTCCATAATTGTGAACATTAGAGTTTATACTTTACACCTGTGATCATGGCTGCCCTAAATTTTCGTACTTTTCTTCTTCAAAGTTGAGACGTTTGATTTCCACACGTTTTAGATGTGCCATCGTGACAGAGACCGTTTTAGTAGAATAACAAACGAAGACATTCAGGAAGAAATTGGAGACCTGCGACGTGATTTTCAGAATCAACTTACCGAGCAAAGGAGGATGTTGTCAGAAATGAGAAATTTAGTACTGCGTTTGAAGGAAGTAAAGGATAAAGATGAACAAGAAGAAGATACTAAGAAACTGGCGGGTGACTTAAGTTAAATCCACAAGTGATGGCTTACGCGCAGTTTGATGGATCGGATCAATGGATGGATGAAAATAAAGAAGATTTTCATTACCTTAGTAGTCGTTCAAGAACATTCATTTAGTTTAAACGCAATGTAAATCGTATGCAATCACTCTTTTTGATGAGTGAAAAAGATGCAAACTGTATTTCTATAGCTGTAATATTTCTTGTTGAATTAAAATTGTAGTCTGCTTACTTACAAAGATTGTAGGAGTTATGAAAACCATTCACTACCATCTATAAGTTACGTTTGCTTAATCATATAGCTCCTAGTCAATAACCATAGTCTCCCCATCAACTGTTATATATGTTCCTGCAAATTATTTGGGAGAATGTAGAGTTAAATCAAGGTATCACTTTGCTTGTGAGTTAATCTGTTATCTGTTTGCTGAGGAACAAATAAATATCATAGAAAGAAAAGTATTTCTGCTAATCTTTTCACACTGCACTGTTTTCTTTCGTTAAGTGTCATCATTTTAAGATGACACAGAACGCATTCAGATCAGTTTGCAGAAGTTACAAATATTCTACTGAACAACCATATATAGGTTTGTTTCGGAATTTATAATACTTGTACACATTCAATCAATGCGTGAATGTAAATACTGTTGATAGGCGATAGATTAGTCGTTCGATCAAACTGCCTTGAAGCGTGCTCACTCGGGAAATATCCTATTAAGAGAAAGGTAAATTGTTCGGTATTTGTCTCGAGCGTAGGAAAAACTCACGACGTAATAGGGGGCACTATAAGACAAGGGGGCACTATAAGACACAGCCAATCAAAATACGGTCAAATGAATTCAATATATATCGATAATGTCAAAATGATTACTGCAAGGACTGATAATGTACGAAAATATAATGATTCCATCGTTCGAGTGGTCAATACCAATGGTTTTCATACCAGTTTTCCTCAGGTGTAACAACGACAGGATGAGGAAGTTAAGAGACATATATATCAACCGTCCTCACAGCCTCTTACGCATATATTGTCTTCCCGTGCCTTTCTTAATATTCCACTAGTCTTGGAGGTGTCGAATATAGATAGCGGCAGAAAATTTTTGTTTTAATATTTCTAGTACACGTGAGCGCGAGGCGAGTCGAAAGGGCGAGTCATAAGCGAGGTGGGAACGTTACATCTGTGCAACTAATTTGTATGTGATCCCGGTGAACAAAATGATTCCCAAGTTTGCACTGCATTAGAGTCCGGACATAAATTTAAAAATATCCTATTGGAGGATAGCAAACGACACCTAAACATATTTCAACGCCAAATTTGGCCTCTCTATGGCTCGCTGGTCTGCTGCCGTTAATATTTCTTAACGAAACTTTTAACCTTTCACTATGAGATTTTTTTTTTGAAATCTTGGTACCTTTGTTTTTAAATCCATTCCCGCTTTAATGCCAAATTAGTCAAAACATATCTCACTTTCAGACCATTCAGTTTAATTATGTCTCTTAGAGAAGACAAACTGGCCGCGGAATTTGGGGTCAGCCAGGTTCTTGCGGTATCTGATCTCGCTCTTTCCCATAGAACGGGGAAACACCTCAGTCCGCGCCAACATCTTTTTTTTTCTCATTGTTTTCTTTTTTCACTCCCGCAACGGACTTTGCCAAAACGTAGGTACTTCTCGTAATCAGGAGCAAGAGATTTTTCATAATCTCTCGGTCAGGAGACATGTTATTACTTACGCAGGTATTGTATCCTCACCCTCCCTCACCCAGGTTGTTTGGTTCTTAAAGGGAATGGAGAGAAGACTGGGTTCAAGTCACCATCGTGACCACGTCGCGCATGCAAAGTATGGCTGCAGGAAGGAACACCTTTCTTTGGCATGAAAATTCGTGACAAAATGCCCCTTCTGCATCACTTGGCTATTAAATCACCTTTATCAATATATGGCTCCTTCCGCTGAATAACATGGGAATGTTTACAGAGGCTTAAGAACACAAAAACGGCGAATGTTTATGTTCACGCACTCACCGCTGGCGAACACAGAAACATCTGAAAGTCGTCCAGGCATCAAGGTATTTCTTGAGGCTGTTCTGCTTTGCACGGTGTTTTCTATTTCATTTTAATTCTTAAGAAGTTTCTCCTGTTCAATTTATTTTTAGGCGTGGTAAGGAACGGTTTAATTCATTTTAAATTGTTTTAGTACCTGAACGCGGTAAATTTAAATATTTTCTTGAGAGCTCTGCACTCAAATGAAGTTAAATAGCTGCATCTGTTGTAGAAAGCGTAGATAGCTGTATGCTGTATCTGCGGTATACTATCCATTGTAGACAGCCTACAAGCTGGGGTGAATCTAGTGAAAGAGAATGTCAATAGATGTATCCATTTCATAGCAGATAGTTGTATGTAGGTAGTGTGGACTCTGCTGATTTAACAATCGGTTTATGCTTAGTGAAGATTTATCAAGATATGGATGCAAACTGAAAGTTTGGAGAACAGGAGAGAAGCATTAGAGTTGCTTGAGGCAAACTTAAGAGCATCTCTAACCTTCAGAGTGCTCTCCAAACTTCCCAATTACATCCATATCTTGATATATGTGCATAGCATGAACCAATTGTTCTATAGCACAGATGAAACAGAGTGTGCATGAAAAAAGATATTTATTACAATTGTTTTGGGTTTACTAGGGTGCATTGAAGTGGACCACTAAGTAACTGATGTTTGCACTTTTGTAAAAGAAAAAGAACATTTACTTCCAAAAGATTCCTATGAAAATCTCATTCAATGGATAGCAAAAAAACCTTCCAATTTATCTGAAATAAACTCAGACACATAAATTTTATGGTCTATTGCCATTGATGTCTGAGTAATTGTTGGCAAATTTAAACTGCTGTGGTGCTGCTTTAGTCTCCTCCACAGCCTAACCAAAGATATTTTGCCATCTCCACTCTTTGAGTGGGTGAAAAGGTATTGAATGAAGAAAAAAATATATTTTGAAAGCTTTCATGCAGGCATACCAACAAGGGCTCCTTAATCAGTACTTTCAATGAGACCTGGCACCTGCTAGAGCTCTGGCGAATATTCTGGTGTTAATTACCAGGTATACTTTGGAAGCTTTCAAGCAAACTCACAAAGTGAGACCTAAAACACCTCCAGATCTTCATGAGTTCTTTCAGTTGACTTTTAACTTTCTGAATGGGTTTTGATAAAAATATTGATATTGTTTTATCATATATTCTGGCATACATTTTATACATCTCTGGCCAAAAAAAGATTTTGAGTTTCCAAGAACATATTAACTCAAATTTTGCTAACCAATTACCACATGTCCTTTCAGAGGACTTTTTATGTGAAACTTAGGGAGCAAGCTTGTATGCCAGCAAATGGAAGATTTTGATCAGAATTAAAATGATCAGTTTAACAATTGTTACAAAGGAGATGAATATTTAATGATCATATATGGAAGTTTAACATTGAAAACTCTGTTTGAAGCCAGTTTTGTCTGAATGGAAGTAATGGGATTGCAAGAAGGAAATTGTTTTTATATTTCTCTCTGGTAGGTGCTTTACCAAGGTGGCCATCTTCTTCAAATCTTATTTAAAGCAATTCTTAATTGGTTGTTGCCTACCTTGTTTATAGGGAATTGACACATGAGGGGGTGAAGTCCTGGGTAGCTAAAAGTGAATTAAAATTGTGTTGGGTTTACCAGCTTATCGACTAACTTTCAGCTAAGTCAACTAACTTTGACTTCTTGACTGACTTACGAACTGACTACTTGACTAACACCAAATGACTGATTGCAAAATACAAAAGCTATCAACTTTGTTTGCCAACTGTTTCCCAGAAATGGAAAATTGTTATTGGATCGTTATCAAACTTTTTGTGTAAACTGATGTTGCAAGGAAAACATTAAAAATATGTTGTTTTTTTTCAGGGTGTATGCCAACCTTCAACCATGTTTATTGATGATTTCTTTACTGTGAATTCCAGTCATTGGCTGACACAGGTAAACAAGATCCTGGTAAACAAAGTTTTGGTTTGTTTGTAGTTTACCTTAGATGTGAAGTGCATAGGAAGATGGGAATTTTTTTTCTTATGCTTTTTCTTATTCCTAAATGCATAGAACATATATTTAGAAACAGTCTTAACTAGCTCTCTCCTTCCCTGCTTAATAAAAAATTTCCAAATAAAGTATGCACATATTATAGTTGAACCCAAATCAATTTTTCACCTTTCAAATGGTTCAAAGGATCTCTAAAAAGGTTGTTTAAATTAAACACAAACATAAACACACTGTAACTGCATTTTAATACCCAGATTAGAGCAAAACACTTTTTAACTGATAATTTCTTTGTTTCCTACCTAAGATAGAAAGATACTCTTCCTGTTATATCTTGGCACTTGTGGTAGTGCAGGTAATTTCATGAGATAAGTAGACTTATTTAAAATAAAATACAGTGTTGTTAAGTCCAAGAAAAAGACCTAAAAAATATACAGGATAAAACTGTTTTGGATACTGGACTGTCTTTAAGTGCTGATGAGGTGTTTGACTTTGTACAAATGATGGAAGACATAAAGCTGGCCACTCAAGAGGTTGGTGTCACCCCAAAAAATCTCTTCCTTAGTCTTGATCTGTGATGCAAAGACTTGGACCTCAAAAAAGAGGATAAAACTGTTTTGGACAATGGACTACCTCTAAGCGCTGATGAGGTGTTTGACTTTGTACAAGAGATGGGAAACATAAAGCTGATCCTTCAAGGGATTGGTGTTACTCAAAACATCTCTTTCTTAGTCTTGAACTGTGATGCAAAGACTTGGTCCCCCCCAAAAAGGATAAAACTGTTTTGGATAATGAACTGTCTTTATGCACTGATCAGGTGTTTGACTTTGTACAAGAGATGGGAGACATAAAGCTGGCCTCTCAGGAGGCTGGTGTCACCCAAAATATCTCTTCCTTAGTCTTGATCTTTGATGCAAAGACTTGGTCATTAAAAAAGAGGATAAAACTGTTTTGGACAATGGACT